TTTAAATTATCTATTTAAAGAAAAATTGTTTAACATCAAAGTTAGGTATGCAAAGGGAGGCAAAGCATAGCGCATAAATTTTTTGTGAATTTAAAAATTTCCAAAGTTATCTTTACTTCTTCTAATTGGACCATATATTTTCTTCATCGAAAATTTTTTTAAATCGAAATAATATTAAATTCCAAGTAAAGAAATATCAGGTCACATTGATTCTAAACCTAATGTTTAAGGAGAAATTTTTTAGAAAAAAAAAAATGAAGCTAACCTTGGAAATTTCGAAAAACACTTCGAAAAATTCACACGCCATCCATTATTTTGCCTCCCTTAGAATCACACAACTTTGATATTAAACAATTTTTCACTAGACGCATAATTTAAAAGTTATTTAAGTTTTAAGGTGTGCAAGTTAGCCTGTGAATCACCCTGTATAATCGAAAGATGAAACTATAACGATTCGATAGTGGACACGTTGACACGCAACATATGGGATTTAAGAATTCCACAGAGTGGAAGATATCGAAGTTTTAACCATGAGTAGTGAGTATTACGTGTTATGGGCGAGATTTTGCAGTAGTATGGTGAAGGTTTCCCAAGTCGAACGTAGCTTAAAGTGTAACTGTTCTAAACGGAGAATTGTCGTCTAGCTGGCTATTACTTTCGTTTCGAATTCGACTTCTTTCCCGCAACGGGAAATCGTGACATCGTTACCTAATTCTTCGTTTCCTTAAGTTTCCATTTCCCCGAGGATTCTTAATTAGAATGTAATTTAAATACAGGTTGAAATTTAATTAGGACGTATAATTTGGAGTTGTCCACGGACGCAGCGAACAGGGCACACGGGACTCGGTAATCCGCACAAGTCCTGGCTCATTAAAAATTAAGCGAAATAACGTGTAATTTAAACTCGCGCGAGGTTAAAGCCCGTGGTTTACACATTGTATCGCACAGTTTCTAACGCGGAATTTCGATTTGGATTTTGACAAATTTTTCAACGAGATTTTCCACTCTGCTTTGTTCGCCGTCCACCGCTTTCCCGCGTAATCCCCCCGTCCCGAGGACGAAGATGGCACCAGTATTTCACGTCGCAGATGATCGCGAAAATATGCTTTCTCTCTCTCTCTCTCTCTCTCTCTCTCCCCGTTTCGCAGTAAGCTCGCTGACACTTTTACATTTTTCACGAGAAACGACGTTGCTTTTTCATCCGAGCGGATGAGACTCTGCAAGTGATGTATAAATAATAAATGCCTTCCGGCGTATTAGGCCGGAGCATAATCTCACTGTGTTCTTTACTTGCTTCATCCTTTCAATAGCATTATGAGACTCGATTATTATATTTTCTTGCCTCGGGTAGAGAATATTTTAAACTTTCTCCCTCTCGAAAGATCTCGCTTCTATATTCCGAATTTCAAATTTCTTCGTCTTCTTCTTTTTTTTTTTTACCCTATAAAAATTATAAAAAATCACGCCCCCGCGATTTATTATCTCTCGTCCGCCAAGTGATCGAGACTCGGGCATTCAATTAAAATTTCTGACTGTCGTTCGAAATGAGAATTACGAGATAATCTCGTGTCTCCAAGCCACCGTTTGGAGGGCTTTGATTAGTGCGTTCGTCTTCCATTAATTACGAAATTAATTGGACAATGTTGCTGCCTGTATTCGCAATTCCCCGACGGATGCACGATTAGCTTGTCGAACGAAGATCGCTAACATTGACACGAGCATTCCGAACCCTTTTGGGAATTTCTATGGATAGCTACATTTTGTTCATATATTTGAGACATTGGAAGCAAAAGGATGAAATTGAATTAATCATGCAAAAAAAAAAAAAAAAAATGGAGGGATTTATTTCTATCAGATCAAACTTAGATAATATTGAATCGTTATACTACTACGTAGATGGAACAATCTATTCTTTTAATTGCGTTCGTGGAAACATCAATTTGCATAATTTGCATGAACATCGTGGTACATTTGCATTTGCATCGTCTATTCATTATAGCGCTGGACTATTTTAGACAGCGAATTTACTCAGTTTGCTGAGTATCGAGGTTAGTTCACTTTTTCGCTCCTAATGCCTCATTTTTCCAGACTTCCCTCTCTCAAAGAGCTCGAGTTTAGCATTCTGCATTACCGCGTTAACGCTAAGCGGTGCTACCGGCGACTAAAAGTATAAAATTTGCAGAGGAGAAAAAAAATCTGTACTGAGATAAAGGGCACGAGCTTCTATCAATGTATTTTACTGAAAATCACTCGGGTCGTTAAAAAAATACACTGTCATAAATTTATAAAACTTCAATGGGAAGTTAGTTCTAGTGTATTAACTTCGTCGAGAAATATCATTTCACGTACATAGAGAGCACGTTGATTTTTCTTTCTCTCCCCCCCCCCTTTTCACGGAGAGAAGATAGTTGAATATAGCTGCATCGCGTTTGCGCAAAATGCTAAATATTTAGGCAGACACAAAGACGTTTCGATTCTATTCCAAGAAATGGGTCATCGTTTTCCGTGGCAATACACGGGCAAAAACTGTTAATCATAACGATCGAATCATATCGAAGAAGAAGCGAGCGAATTATTAGTTATTATTAGCAACATTGTGTTGCCAGTGTCCCAAATTTCCACTTCTAAACTCTCTCGCGCGTATTTTCAACATTTGGCATAACTGATTTTGTTTTTTTTTTTTTCTTCATTCTATCTTTCGAACCTTTCTGACTTTTCAGCCTTTGTTTCACGATGAGATGCAAATTTAAATTCATCGAGCGATACGTTTCCGTCATAGCGAACGAAGCGCCGCTGTCAGAAGCGAGGAGCACACGCTTGCAGCTAAAAATGAAAAAACATAAAGTCTCCTCGTCGTCGCTTGACAGTTTAATAATGAGAGAAAATGTGTGTTGCCGGTACGTTTAGTGGCGTAGACAAATCGTCCACGTCTAAGATTATGCTTGTACCCTTTATGAAGCGACGCTCTTCGCGGACCAATGATGATGCGATCCGTGGTCCAATAATAGCCGCTTCTATAGCTGTCGCAATTACAATTTTGAACGAATATCTTTGACTCGAACGAGTATATAACGTATATATATATATATCGTAGACTCGTACGATACGATATTATTTCATCTCAGTTCGTCGGCTCAGAATTTCCTTCTCATCAATTTCGAAACGTTGCTGTAAGAACGTTGGTTCAGCGGTAAATATTTGAATTAATCTTGAGCGATACTGTTGTCTCCTGTGCATTGCTCGTCGTAAAGCCATGAGTTACTTCGTCAATTATTCAGGATTCTATGTACACGAGATTCTTTGAAGCAGCCGATTCAGTTAAAAATAAACTGCCCGTGTTGTTCCGCTGAAGAGAATATTTCCCAACACTCGATCTGACATTTGTTCGCTTCTTGCGAACGAAATTGAGAGCCGAAGTCAAAGGAGTCGCGATCGTGTTCTCGAAACTCTTTGCTAACTTTGGCCAACGTTTTCCCTACTCCAATTCCAAATATTAATCCATACACGAGTACGCGACTCTCACTGATTAATCGCGTTTCTGATGATCTGGAGGATTGTTAACGCTTCGCGCGACATTTGTAAATATTTTACATATTTACAAATAACAGTAGATTACCATTCGTAACTTTGTTAACATATTAACGTTTGTAATATAAGGGACGATACATTTGTGTTCACATTATTCTTGCTCCTTATGCAACAAGTTTTATAAAATTAAATTTCAAATACTTTTCCATAGAAAGTCGAACTGCAAAGAAAAGGAAACATATGTTTCCATTTAGAGAAGCGGGGATCTCGAGATTACCTAACTCACAATTAGACAAGTTCGATTGTTATTTCAAACGTTTTTCTTTCTCGAACGAATGAAACAGTTTATTAATTACGTGGAGATGAATTAAAACGGGACACCCTGTATGCGTGTAATATATGTGTCATTCCTACGAAGAAGGAGAATGACCCGAGTCGGCGTTTTCTGACAAGCGTATCGCCTCTTTTCATGGCTATTACGCGTATTACAGCGACACGCGAAACGACAGGATGAATAGAATTTCCGCAGGATTAACGGGGAAGTTTGTATCGGTTTTTTAAAGCTGCCCGTTTAAAAGTTAAGCCCGCCGCCGTTAGCAGAGCTTGTATAGAATAACACGCTGGAGCAACAATCAACGGGGGGTAAAAGCACGGCAGTTCTCCCGTAGCGTTCGCCCCGATTCTGGAGGGAAGTTTTATCGAAAGCTGTCAGAGGCTTGCCAGTGACGAGTTTCTGGCCATTCTACCGAGTTTCCGGCCTATCAAAGACAGAGTTGCATCCCGTTTCCGCTTGTCGAACGCGCGCTCGTTCGCAACCGAGACGCGAATGAAATTAGGCTAAAATTTTCTACAGCCAGACGAAACTCGATACATCAAAATTACATCAAAATTAGGAATGTACGCGTGATAGCGCGATTGTCACGGACACATTTCCGGTGTAAATACACGGAATCGAAGAGGGTAAATTGAACGAAACATTTTTCTTACTTCTCGTTCTTTTCGTCATCGGTGGAATGGGAAATTTGCTAAATAACAGCGAGAAATAAAGTTTTTCCCTCTGGAACAACTTCATAAAACATTACATTTAATTGTTCAACAGAAACGACGCGTTTCTAAGAAATTCCAATCAAATGTACTCCTTTGATTTATTTTCACGCGCAGAGTAACCTTCTATCGATCATTCGCGGCCGCCCAGCTCGGAATTCAGCCAAGAATTCTCGCATACCAGACGAATTCTCTAGATTTTTTTCAAACTCTTCGACACTTTATCTTTGCTTTTTTTTTTTTCTTTCATTTAGAATCGTGATCGATTGTAACCATAATTACCTGTACGCGAGATTGCGAACAGAACAGTGGAGGAATCGGGTCCAAAGGGAGACGATAGAAAGGAAAGATTGTTCTTCGAGGGTGAGAGAAGAGGGAAAGAAAGTAAAGTCGAACACGGTATTACGGCGTGACCTCGGTTGACCCGAAATGAAAGCCAATGGGGGATGGTAGCGAGCTCGAGTCTCTGTCTACCCTGTGACGTCAGAGGGAGGGAGAAGGCTGCTGCGTATAACGGTATCGAAGGCTGACCGACCCCATTTACCACCGCTTTTAGTTCCCACTTTGGCCCAGGAGTATTAGCCTCCATGATTCCCGCGAAGGGATAGATACAGAGAAATACTTCGAAGCTTTTAGATTCGAGAGCTTCCCGTGCAAATAAATCGATGTATTATCCTTAGCTTCGCCGTCACCGCCGATTGACCGTAACTCACTCGATTTTATTGCCGTTAGTTGCCGAGAGCAAGCGAGACAACTTTCATTTGCTACTTTGCGAGAGAGGAAGGAAATTTTAAAAAGTCCCGCAAATGGTCAAACGTTTCATCAACTTCGCGAGAACAAAAGTGGACCAAGTTTTAGTAAACAAAGCGACTGTAACAAAACGTTTTATTTTACAGTCGCTATACACACGGTTAATGCTGACGTTGCATCGATTAAAGAAAAATTCGAGGAGATCAGAGGTGGCAGGTTTTGCGTGAGCCTGTTCCCATTTATCTTTAAATTAGCATGTAGAATTTTACAGAGAGACATGATCAGACTGTCAATCGAACCATTGTGTCGTTGTGTCGTTGTGTCGTTGCGTCGAGTATAGGAATCGAGTCGAGAAAGCGTCACTCGCGAAATTAAACACCGCTGTGACGTTTGATCCATTCACGATAGTGGCTGACCTCGGTGTAAACACCTGGATAATGTGGAGTTGCGCATCCCTTCCCCCAGGAAACGATGCCCACGAGTTTGCCATTGACAACGAACGGACCACCAGAGTCACCTTGGCAGGAGTCTTTGCCACCCTTCTCAATTCCGGCGCAAATTTGCCCGTCAGGAATCTGACCGAGGCTCCGGTAAGCATCCCTGCACGATTTGATCGAGACTATGGGAACCGAAACCTTGCGAAGGACTCGAGGCAGATTCGAACTCGATTCTCTGGTGGCACCCCAACCGGTGATCAATCCGTATTTGCCAACGAGCGATGAAGCAGCTGCTTGATTCAGTGCCACTGCTTTCCTCGTGTCGTCGAGATGCAACGGTTCCGCCAGATGAAACAGAGAGATGTCGTTCACCGGGATACCTTTGTGGTTAGCTCCATAGGATTCGTGCGTGATTATTTTTTGAACTCGGTGCAGCGAACCGCCGTTGTCGACGTAGGTAGAGCCTGCGTGCACTTGGTAGTTTTTGGCAGCGCCTCCGGCACAGTGTGCGGCAGTTAAGATCCAGTCCTTAGAGATTATGCTACCTCCGCAGGTGTGGTGACCATTGATTCGCAAGCTCACTTGATACGGTATTACTTTGATGGTGGTTTCTTCACCACCTACGATGCGACCTTCCATTCGGATCAGGTCATCCACTGTCTGGTTTATGGGCGTTCCTGAAAGATAGACGCGCGAGTTTTGTTTGAAAATATTCTTCCTTGCGTTATTTGCAAGATAATCTCGCGTTTAAAAAGTTTACGAAGGTAGAAGCTCTTATCGTTTTAGTGCTGTTCGCTGATGTTACTAACTTCCTAAGATTATTACGTGAGATGTGACAGTAACATTTTTAAGTATTCGTTTAAGGCGAGTGATCTTAACATTTATAGCCGACAATGTACCATTCTCGCGGAAATGTTCAAAAACTTACCAGCCACTAGGGCGACGAGGGCGAGAAGCACGAACAACTTGTGCATCTTGAAGAGGTTTAGATTCCACTTTCAACGATGACGGAGCGTGTTGTGTGTGGATGTCAGATCGTGCTCGCCGGTTTTTATAGTGAAAATCAGTGACGTTAATGACACTATCGCGCAATTACGAAATTAGTCTGTGATTGTCCTCTTGAGTCGTTCACGATCTCACGGCTTATCGCGAATCGATTTTTCGTCCGATATTAATAGATTCTGCGTTGCAGAGGAGATAAAAGAGACGCGCACTTAAACTATTTATCGACGGGTTTTAATCTACGTTTTTTGAGTGCTCTGTCGATCAATACCGGACGCCGCTGTGAGGCCGCTCAATTATTACGCACACGTGTCACTAAACCGAGCGTCGAAAACGTCAGTCTCGGTCTTCCATCGGTTTCAATTCGCATCCGCTCTCCTCGCCACTCCATTCGTTTTCAATCTGTCGAAATCTGCCGATCAACCGGACGATCTTATTCCAAGTCTAGTAATTTTTAGCTTATTGGTTCCTTTCGCCGATCAATTCATTTTGTTGATTAATCGCGTCGGGCGTGCTTGTGCGAGAGGAAGACATTGGAGAAACATATATTTCGTGGCTGTTAGGTTTGAAAGCTTTTCAAAAAAATAGATAAACAAACAAATCGATCCATTATCTTTATTTTCGACGACCATCATGATACCAATGAATTCCGACATTGACGTTGAAATTCGGCTCAAACGGACTGAAATGTACGTTCGCGTAGCTGATACGACAGAGTTTCTGCGTGATCGAGAGAACAACCAAATAACACTTTGTGCTCTATCCTAAAATACGCTCGTTAACTTGATCTAACACAGAATTTTATAATTACTTTTTAATACTTTTTCCTCAAGCTGTTCATTTCACGTCTACACGCGTAACATGTTCATGTAGAATTTCCTGTAAATATTTTCACAACGTTTAACCTGTTAGGTGAACAGATACTATACTACACACAGTGCTTCGCAATAGGTATTTGCCAATCGTAAAAGTAAAATTGCCGTAGCCTCGTAAACGGTGGACCAATTCCGAAACGCGAAGGCTGAGTCGAATCTCCTTTCGATTCGACTGGCTGTTCAAAAGTACCAAGTGCAAACAGCGAGGCGACGATGGAGTATTACAATTTCCCGACGAAGAATCCCGTTTATTTCGTTTAATTACCAAATAACTTGGTACAGCCGTGCCAAGTGTTGAGATCGGCGCGAGTCTCCGTGTTGTTGTCGAGCTATTTTAGGAAGGACACTCGGCTAAAATCACGAAAATACTATTTCTCTGGGTCAAGGCTGCCGATTTAATATGCATTTCGTTCACTTATAATAACTGCGAACTTCAACGTTATCGCGTAGAGAAATTCTCCGGCGTGCGAGTCTCAACCAGGACGAGGTGAATCGTCTCTGAACATTGTCTCGTTAAAACATGTACGTTACTGCCCGTAAAAACGGGCTAAAACGATCTCGCGGAAACGTAGTTTTCGTCGTGGTGGATTGTTATTTCTGCGATCGTAACCTTCTTCCACTAAGGAACGGGGGGAACTAAGGGAAAA